GGGAGGTGATTCTCCTTCTCTACGTGGCACTGGTCAGGCCACAGCTGGAGTACTGTATCTAGTTTTGGACACCGCAGTTCAAGTGATATGCGGACAACCTGGAGAGGGTCCAAAGAAGAGACACTCGTCTGATTAGAGGCCCACAGGGAACGCCCTATGAGGAAAGGCTAAGCGACCTCAACCTCTTCAGGCTCTCCAAGAGAAGGCTGAGAGGGGACCTTGTGGTGGCATACAAATTCATAACGGGGGAGCAACATGAAGTAGGTGATGATCCGTTTACCAGGGCACCCCCTGGAATGACAAGGAACAATGGCCATAAGCTACTGGAGAGGTTTGGATTGGACATTAGAAAAAAGTTCTTCATGGTCAGGTTTGCCAGGATCTGGAATGGGCTCCCAAGGGAGGTGGTGCTCACCCCATCCCTGGGGGTCTTCAGGAGGAGACTGGACAGGCACCTGGCTGGGTTCACATGACCCCAGGTTTGGTGACCCTTTTCTTGCCCTTCTGACCCTAGAATCTATACCCCCAGGGGTACTTGGAAAGGCCCTAGGGGGTACGTATGGGTGGGCGGGGACAGAGTGCTGCCACCCACCACCCTGTGCCACCCCCTCCCAGGAGCAGGCCAGGGGTGGGGGGCGTGAGAGCAGCAGCACCCCTCTGCAGGCCACACAGGTGCTGCCTGGCCAGCTGGACGCCCCTTCCCCACCCCACTCAGTGTCTGGCTGCCAGGGGTACACTTATTTTAAAAGGTTAAAAACCCCTGCTCTAGGGGTTCTTTTTGTTCTGTCTTTACAGCACGTAGCAGTGTGGGATCCTGCTCTGTGACTAGGGCTTCTAAGTGCTATGGTAAGATAGTAGTAGTTATAATAATAATAATAATAATAAATAATAATAAACTATTCAGTGTCCCAAGGAATTTGTTTTCATGATAGTACTGTGCAGAAATCCACACCCATCAAAGTTGTTCCATTTTTATTTATAGACTTCATTCTTCCCAGTGACTTGTACTTGTGTTTTTGGTCCAGTCTGGAGACTTGCTCATTTCTCTGTTTTACACTGTATTGTTTGCTTTTGAAGATGAGAATAGTTGAGCCTAGGAAATGAAGGAATGTAGAAGAACATCCTGCTTTTATTTGAATTTTTTAACAGTTTGCAATAGAGGAGGTGTTAGCTGCTTTTGCATAGCTGACACCAGAAGATAAGTGGTCCATATTAATTAGGATGGGGAACTATCCCCTGCTGAGGTTCTTGAACAAGAGTATTTGAAAAACTACAGGCGTAGAAGATCTGTAATGGATTTGTGCAGATCAGTATAACTGACTCTTAAAGAGAGGCTCTGCTTTTCACATCTGCAAAATGAGCTGAAGCAGTAGGGACCAACCTTATAGTCAGGTGTGTCACAAATTAAACCCCAGGTCCTCACAAAGTGCTATTCCACTCCTCTTTGCCTGCTTAATCTGCTGCTCTGCTTTCTGTTTCCTGACATGTCCCCTTTTCTTGCTCTGTTGCCCTTTCTGCTCCATGTACTTTCTGTTGCCGTGCTGCCTGGCCCCTCCCTGATCTGCTGCATGCCATACACAGGGGTTACTTGTGGCACTTGTGCCACAGATTGGCAACCACTTGGCTGAAGAATTGAAATACCTAGTTTGTATGGAAGGTTTTCTTTTTGAAATATTGTGATCTTAGTTTTTTCCAGATTGGCATAGGGTCCATATTGCAGTAGGTGCCATCACCATTGGTGACAGAGGGTAATATTTTCAAAAGTATCTGAGTGAATTAGGAAACAAAATCCCATTCTTTAAAGTGATGTAGGCACTTAGGAAAATAAAGAGGGCTTTGCTCCTGAAGCACTTAAATGCTTTTAATATTTTTTAATCCAGTATGACTAGAGTGTTATCAGACTATAGGTCAAACACTCGGGGCCCAATTCTCCATTCACTTACACTTTGTTCAGTTACTTCCACTGGTGCAAAGTAAATATAAAACCCTTCACCAGGTCAGAACTGTATTTGTTTATGTCCAATTTTCAAATCTGTAAATGACACAATTTGTAAGTGGTACCTTTTATCTCTGAAATATTTATTGGAATTTTGGTTCCAAAATTTTTTACAACAGGGCAAATGGATGCATATGTTGAAAATGCAGAGGCTTAGGTTACATCCCTATTTTATTCTTTTTTGCTGGAAGGCTTCTGTTTATGTTGTTTTATCCTATAGTAGAAGGACTGGCACATAGATTTAATGAGGCCAGATATTTTTCTACCAATTCCATTTTGTTGTAATTTAGGTTGACCTGTATGCCAGATTGTGTTAAGTACTTTTTGAAAAATCCATGAGATGGACAATT